CTGTGACGAGCCTTTGGTGGGTCTGTGACAGGGGAACACAGCTCCAGGGTCACACCGTGCTGGCTGCTGGCAGAGCTGCTGGCCAAGCCCGGCTGCAGCTCTGGGATCTTTGGGTTTTGGAGAGTTTGGAGCTCTGCCCGCAGCATCAGGAGGAGATGGGAGCTCCCAGCAGCTCGTGGTGAGGAGCACAGAGCCCAGGAGTGCCCACTGGGGTCTCTCTGTGCTGGACTGGCACCCACTGTGCCAGCCCCTGGGAGCAGCCAGTAGGGCAGGGAGCTGACATTTCCTCAGGCAGGGCTGGCAGAAAGGGCTTTTCCATATCCCCAAAGTCCATCAGCGTCCAGATGTGTCCCCAGCTGAAATATCCAAGCTCTGACACCAGCCCTTTTCACTCGTGGCTCACAGAAATAAATGTACCAGGCTCTCCAGGAGTGAGACCTCAGCCCAGAGCTGCTTTTCATCTCACCCTCCTGCCACCCTATTCCCCCTTCTCACCAGCTCTGAGAACAAGGATTTCAGGCAGTCTGAGCTCAGCCAAACCCTGGCCAAAGGGTTAAATCTTGGGATCTAAATGCATAAAAAAATAATGTTTTCTTTGCAGTGTGAGTCATCAGTAATTCTATATTGTTTGTGTTCTCTTTACTGTGACCTTTCATCTCTGAATCCTTTTTTTGTTTCCCTTTCTTTCTCTCCATCTGTCCTTCCCTCCTCCCTTGCTCGCTTGCTTCCTTCTTTTTACTTCTCTCTCTCCCTATGTATCTTTCCTTTCTTTTTCCTTCTGTTTTTTATGAATCCGTGCCTCTGTAAGAATCTGTCCAAATATTTACAAAAGGAAATGCTGGGTTGTGAAACTGAATTCAGAGAAAATGTTACACATGCTGAAGAAATGCATCCAGCACGGTTTCCAAATGTTCCCACATGCATTTTTGTCCCGTGTCTCAAGTGCTGGGGCTCCATACTCTGTACCTTTATTCAGGCAAAACTTGCACTGAGCAGGCGGGGAGATCCAGGCTGGGGTCTGGTCCAGGGGCTGTAATTCTGGAGTGGTTCCATTTGATCCTGGCCATGGGTGACTGGTTAAAAAGCCTGAATAACCAGTGGGACTGGGTGAGTGCTTTGTGCAATGGGCCCGTTCCAGGCCAGGGGCTGTCACACTTGTCACCGAGCTGGGACAAGCTGGCATCGCTGTCGGGCAGAGCAGGAGCTCTCTGCAGCTCTGTCAGCTCCAAAAAACATCAGCCAGGGGAGAGCCCTGGTCCCTGCAGGAGCCAGGACAGGTCTGAGCTCCTGCTGAGACCAAAAAAAACCCACACTCAGCTGTGCCGTGATCCATGAAGTCATTTTCCCAAGAAGTCCATAATGCTCACACTCATGTCCTCATGTCCTCATGTCCTCATGTCCTGGGACATGTTTTGGCAGAGAACAGGGAATGTTTAAGCTCAGGGATAATGGGAGTGGGTCCCATCTGCTCTCAGAAAAGCCTCACTCCCACCCCCACAGTCCACGCTCATGTTTCTATTCTTGCCCTCACAAAGGCACCGTGGCCCGGCGCAAACACGGATTGTTTTGGAGGAAGGGGTTAATTTTGTATTTCCTGGCTTTTGTTAGGGCAGGAAAATGAACCCTTTAGCGAACTATTCAAGGCGGTATGAGCTTCTAAAAGGCACTTCAGGCCTGCTTTGTATTCTGCTTTCTTGCGTTCTTAAGGCAGGTTTATTTAAGAAAAGAAAACAAAAATAAAGCAAGGAAATAGCCAGCCCAGGATTGTGAGTGATTAAGTACACACTGCCACATGTGATGAATTTTTTTCTTCCTGATTTACACCGGGTATAAACAAGACCAGATTCCAAAGCCTCACAGTTACATAAGTGCATTGAAAAGCAATTATCATTGTTGTGGAGATAAATTCCCTTTGTGCAAAGGCCTCGGTGGGGTGTCATCCCTGCCCTGGCTCACAGCAGCCAAGGTACCTGGCCCAAGCCCTGGCTCATATTCAGTATTTGTGTGGTGCTGGTTAACATCACGACGAGAAAAGTGGATGTCACTGAGAGCACATTGTCCCTTGGCTGGGCAGGTGGCAGGCCTGGAAATTTCTTTAAACTCGGGGAAAATTGAAGATGCCAGACTCGGGGGGAAAAAAATCTCTGTTTTTTAGATTTGTGGGATGCTGAGAAGGGTTTAGGACGAGGAGAGAAAAGCCTGTCAGTGGCACAGGGATACCTGTGAGCCAGACATGGGGTGGAATAGATGCTCTTTACTCCCTCCCAGCCCAAACCATGCTGTGATTTCATTATTTTAAGGTTCCTAATCCCACAGGGCTGGACAGACTCTGCCTCTCCCGTGCCCCCGCCAGGAGATGCCTTAAATCGCTCCCACATCACACTCAAAGGGAGAAAATTGAAGCAATTCCTGGTACAGACTCTCAGAAATCTCCGTGTCTGAGGTCCATTTCCTCCAGGAAAAATGATGAGCACAGCCCTGTCCTGTGGCCATCTGTCGTGCTGGCTCGTGCTGCAAGAAGCTGGCAAGGAACCCATCCCGGAGAATTCCTGCTGCTCGTCTCCTCACAACGATCTGGGCAGGCTGGTGTTGCACAGATGATGTGCAAGGACACCAGAGCTCGGTGATGTCACATCTTTTGAGGTGCTGCCTGGGAGCACAGCACGTCCAAAGGGGACAGATGGGGCTGCTGCCACCAGGGGTGATGTCCCTGTGGTGGGACGTGTGCCCCCTGCCCAGCTGGTGGCTCCTGAGGGGCTGCTGTGATGGAGAGGAGTCATTCCCCAGCACCCAAGTGTGTGAGTGTTCCTCCTGCAATCTGCTTCCAGCCCGCTGCTGAAAGAACAACAATAAATAAATGGAATGAAAAGTGCAATCCCGTGTTTATTTTAAAAGGAACGTGTTGAAATAACAGATTCACTTTGAGGCTGCAGTTCTGGCAGGAAAAGCCAGTGCTCAGCAGAGCAGAGACAATCCTGTGGGTGAGCCAGAGCTGGCACTCACCCACCCGTGCCCCTTGGCCATCCTCCTCCTCCTGGACCCCCTTGGGGACCTGGAAAACCCTGGAGATCTCAGCTGGACACACAGCCCGGCTGGGCTGAGGCGGTCAAAGCCTGAGGGAGCAGAAAATGTGAGGAGTGATGGGGGGGACCTGGTGGGGCTGGAGAGGGGACAGAGGAGCCTGGGGTGAGGGGTGGGTGGGTGCAGAGCTCTCCTCAACAGCAGCAGCCTGAGGGGGAACTGAAAACACAGAATGGGGCGAGCAGGGAGCAGCAGGGCAGAGCGGGGGGAGAGGAATTGCTGGGGTGGGACACGGCAGATGGGCAGAGAGGGCTGGGGTACCCGGAGGGGACACCAGGGGCACAGCAGAGCAGGGGAAGTGGCAGCAGCGCTGACTGGAAGCCCTGAGTAAGAAACACCCCAGTGGCTCGGTGGAAGTCAGTCATCCACGGAAAAAAAAGAAAATTTTTGGGAAGTGCTGATGCACCGAAGAGGGGGGAAAAAAAGAGAGCTCCCAGCAGTGCCCTGCCGGTTACTGGGCAGCCCCGACCCCTGGAGGGGTCTCATGGAGAAAAATGAACTTTGCAAGGGTCTCTGTGTGTGTTTTTCCATGTCCATGAAACATGATGGGAACGGCTCTCAAATATGTGTTTACATTATAAACATATACACAAATATATGTGTGCACACATTTATTTATGTGTGGGTTTGACTGAACATGTAGCCATGCCTATGCGTGAATACAAATATATGTATGTGTCTGCTGGCTCCTTTAGACAAATATTTTAGGAGAATAATGACAGCCTCATCCAAAGCTCGACATCCCCACGCTGCTGCTCCTTGCCTTGGATTCTGTGGGAAAGGAGGGAGCAGCCAGTGCTGCTGCAGAATCCTCCCCTCCTCTGCTGGGGGATCAGCCCAGGGCAGGGGGGATTTCTTACACAGAGTTTTTAATCAACCATATATATATATATATATGTATGTATATATAAAAATAAAAATAAAAATAAAAATAAAAATAAAAATAAAAATAAAAATAAAAATAAAAATAAAAATAAAAATAAAAATATATACACACTTATACCCACACACACACACATATATATATACACAATTTATAAATATATACAGAGATATATACACATATTTTTAAATATATAGCCACAATAAAAATAAAAATATAAATACATACTTATATCCACACACACACACACACACATATATATACACAATTTATAAATATATACAGAGATATATACACATATTTTTAAATATATAGCCACACATATACACATAGATACATAGACATAGGCACATATACATACACACACCTATACATACATATATATATAAAAATAGACAAATACATGTGAATATATGTGTATGCATTTAGATGTATATATTTATATACATGTATATATACATCTATATATTTATACATAACATATAAAATATATATTCTGTATAATTATTTATTTTATATGTCTGTATATGTGTATATATATACATATATTTACATATTATATTTTGGTATATTTTTTCTTTTATATGTTTATGTATTTTTATAATCATATATTTTTATAATATATATATTATATATATTTTAATAAATTTACATATACATACATATATTTTAGTGTATTTTATATATATATACTTTATATATATATAATTTTATATATATATATTATGTGTGTATATATATATTTATACATATATTTTTATACATATATTTTTACATATATTTTTATATATATTTGTATCGGGGCGGGGGAGTGTGTGCACTCCGGCCGTGTCTGCACACGTCCGTGCGCGTACCCGTGTGCACTCGCGTGTCCAGCTGTGTCCAGGTGTTCACACACACACACACACACACCCCCCCGTGCACGCGCCCGCGCGCTCCCGCCCGCCCCGGTGGCCGGCGGGCGGCTCCGCCCCCTATCGGCACCACGTGACGCGGCCCCATTGAGAAAACGCCGTCCCGCCGGCGCGGCCCCGATATAAGGGCGGGAGCGAGCGCGGCACCGGGACACGCGGGGACAGCGGCACCTCCCTGCCCTCCCTTCCATCCCTTCCATCCACCCACCCAGCCATCCAACCGGCCACCCATCGCTGCCCGGCCATGGTGAACCTGCGGGTGTGCGCGCTGGAGTGCGAGGCGCTGCGGGCGCTGCTGCAGGAGCGCGGCGCGCAGTGCCTGGTGCTGGACTGCCGCTCCTTCTTCTCCTTCAACGCCGCGCACATCCGCGGCTCCTGCAACGTCCGCCTCAGCACCATCGTGCGGCGCCGCGCCAAGGGCGCCCTGGCCCTGGAGCACGTCGTGCCCAACGAGGAGCTCCGCGCCCGCCTGCGCCAGGGGCTCTTCCACACCGTGGTGCTGCTGGACGAGCGCAGCGCCGACCTGGAGGCGCCCAAGCGCGACAGCACCATGCTGCTGGCGCTCGGCACCCTCTGCCGGGAGGCCCGCGGCGCCCGCATCTGCTTCCTCAAGGGTGAGTGGCACCGGGGAGCCGGGCCGGGTGGCCCCGCGGAGGGCACCGGGGAGCCGGGCCGGGTGGCCCCGCGGAGGGCACCGGGGAGCCGGGCCGGCTCGCCCCGCTGTGCCCCCCGTCCCGGCCGTGCGCTCACCTCTCCCCGCTCTGCCCCCGCAGGAGGTTACGAAGCCTTCGCGTCCGCCTGCTCCGAGCTCTGCACGAAGCCGGCCGCCCCCGCCGGGCTCAGCCTGCCCCTGAGCGCCAGCCCCGCGCCCGGCAGCGCCGACTCGGGCTGCAGCTCCTGCGGGACCCCGCTCTACGACCAGGTGAGCGCCGGGGGCCGCGGGCGGAGCCGCCGGGCGGGCAGCGCTGCCGCGGGGCGCCGGCCGGGGCTGAGCGCCGCTGCTCCTCTCTGCTTCCAGGGCGGGCCCGTGGAGATCCTGCCGTTCCTGTACTTGGGAAGCGCCTATCACGCCTCCCGCAAGGACATGCTGGACGCTTTGGGCATCACGGCGCTGATCAACGTCTCGGCCAACTGCCCCAACCACTTCGAGGGGCACTACCAGTACAAAAGCATCCCCGTGGAGGACAACCATAAGGCGGATATCAGCTCCTGGTTCAACGAGGCGATCGATTTCATCGGTAAATGAGCTCTTTTTTGCAATCTGCGCTTTTTCCGGGTTAATGTCCCCTGGGAAGTGATTTTTGGCATGGTTTTTTCCCGCGGTGAAACCTCCGCTTGAGGTTGGGGAATAACATTCCATTGGGAAGGTAAACTTGGGGACCATTTCCATTAGTTTAATTCTACTCACAGGCATAATCTTAGCTTTGTAAAGCTGTTTGAAACCTTGATTGAAGAGGCACTGGTCTTGCAGAAAAGAGTGAATTTAAGCGGATCAGTATTAAAGTAATCTTGCGAGACTGCTGAAGTGACCTGGAGGAGCTATTAGTGTAATTGGAATTGGAGCCCAGAGTGAAAATAGCTGCTTTCCTCGGGACAAAGACTCCCTTTGTCTCAAAAGCTCCGGGTGCACCTATTAGGCTGAGGAAGGGATGGATTAAAGAAATGTAAAACAGCAGTCTGTGCTTTTCCCACCTCTGGAAGCAGCGAGACTTGTTTGCTAACTGTGTGCTTTGATTTTTTTCTTTCAGACTCGGTGAAGAACGAGGGAGGAAGGGTCTTTGTGCACTGCCAGGCTGGCATTTCCCGCTCCGCCACCATCTGCCTCGCTTACCTCATGAGGACCAACAGAGTCAAACTGGACGAAGCCTTCGAGTTTGTCAAGCAGAGGAGGAGCATCATCTCCCCGAATTTCAGCTTCATGGGGCAGCTGCTGCAGTTCGAGTCGCAGGTGCTGGCCCCCAACTGCTCGGCAGAAGCGGGGAGCCCCGCCATGGCCGTGCTGGACAGGGGGGCATCCACCACCACGGTCTTCAACTTCCCCGTCTCCATCCCGGTGCACACCACGTCCAGTGCTTTGAGCTACCTTCAGAGCCCCATCACCACTTCCCCCAGCTGCTGAAAAAGCAGGTGAAGAAGGTGGCCAGGACTCAGACTTGCTGTCTCAGAGGTGCAATAAGGGCAGGGACGGTGGCGCTCGTGTTTTGTGGGGAGCTGTTGGCGTGTCCATGGAGAGGAGCTCGCCCATGCCACAGGAACCAGGTGTTTCTGACTTCTCAAGCAAATGTCTGGATGTCTGCACAGAGATCAAAGGACATTGGCTCTTCCTGAGCTGTCCCTCCTTGTCTTCTGTCTGTCCCAAGCCTGCTCCATGTTTAGTAGCATGCTCACCAGTATTCCCATTCCTGGACACTTTGAGCAACACTGATGCTGTCCCCTTTTATAAGACAGTCCTATTTATTTATTTTTACATTAGTGCATTGTTGTTGGGTTTTTTGTTTTTTTTTTTTTGCCTTCACACACGTAAAGTTTCAGTTCTAGAGAAACCAAATACCTCAGTATTTTTTGGTACAATAATCCTGTGTGTGTATCTGTCAGCTCTTCCTGTTTCCCAAGTACTGACATGAAAGCACCAGGCGAGTGCTTTTTTTTTTTTTTGAGTTGCCAAGGGGTTGTATGTTTGCCGATTTATTTATGATGTGAAATAATATATTTCTTCTTATGAAGACTTAGTTTTGTTACATGATTATAACCTTTTTTATACCAAATGGAATAAATTATGATATTTCTATTCATCTGGATGATATATTCTTTAAAATACTGCATTTCACAGTCCCAAAACTCATGTGAAGCTCCAGGGTGTAGAGCTGTAATTTTCAGCTCTTCTGGCCTCGGGTCTTGACTGAGAAAAATGGGTTTAAGCACCATAATTGACTAGAAACTACTGCAGGTTCTTAACCTGAGCTTTTCTTTGTCCCCGTGTAATTGTGTGCAGTGGCAGGGAGCCAAGGCTGGCTGCTCAGCTGGGAGTGGATTTGGCTGTAACAGTTAGAACCAGCTGAGACTTGGGCACTGGGCTACACTCAATTTAAAATAGTCCTTCTCCTAAGAAGGAGGAATAAGCTTCCTTATTCCTTGTTTACTTCTAATGCTTGAAAGGTTAAGTCTAAAAATTAACCTGTTAGTAACAGATCTCTAAGGCTTGGCACAAACTCACAGAGTGTTTTTTCTTTTTCTGTCCCACCTCCTTAAATCCTTTTTGCGACTCAAACTGCCCCTGATGCCTGCAGTGAGGTATTTGGCTGGCTGGGCTGTCTCTGTAAACAAACCAGGGCATGACAAGGGATCAGGTAACCAGCAGCTCACCCATTTTCTTACCCAGACCCAAATAAATTCTTTCCTGCTGGAGATTATCACTAGAGTGACTTGGAGCTGGTGTTTCTGTTGGGGCAGTGAGGAGAGTTGAGGCAGCACAGCCAAAGCCAGGCAGGGGAGCTCCTGCAGCATCTCTGGGCAGGATGATGGGCAGCAAAGGGTTCCTGGGACAGATCTGCACCTCTCCCGGGCTCTGTGGGGCAGGACAGCATCCTTGCTGTCACATCCCCTTCCCAGGGAAGCTGAGGGCTGTGGGAGGCAGCTGGAAGCTTGATTTCCTGGGCAGGGTAACAGGAGAGGGATGCTGAGGGAGCAGCAGGGTTCTGGGTTTCCCATATTCCACAAGGGAGCCACCAGCTCCTGCATATCTGATATTCAGAGTAAAATCCAACTTTTGCACCATCAAAAATAGTTTTTCTCTGGCACACACCAGGTGGTGAGTGTAAAATCAAGGAATTTAAGCAGCTGTGATCTTGAGTGTACAGGGCAAGGTTTTTGTGAGCATAAATCAGCTGTGCTCTCGTCACACAGCAAGATGAGCAAAGCACCCCAAACCCCTGCAAGTTACCTGGGGTATTAATGGTGCTAAAATGCAGGCCTGTTCTCCTGGGAGAAGGTGCCCTTGGAGGATGGGATGATGCACTGCTGCCCCTCTGAGCAGCTCTGTCGTCAGCACCACGTCAGCCCTCACCGCCTTTCAACCTGACACCGAGGCAGGGAAAAAATGGAGCAGCTAAAAGAGGAGAGATCCCTGGGCACTGGGAAGTGAACTTAGAAACTCTTATTTCCCTGAAATACCCGAACATCAAAGTGAATGTCCTCCCCAAAACCTGTCCCGTGCTGCAAATCCTGCAAAACCCCTTTGCCCATGGAAAATCCCTTGGCACCTCGAACCTGCCATTGCTGTCCTGATTAAATATGCAAGACTGTCTCTGAATACGTGAGCCTTTTTACACCTGCAGTAAAGGGTGGAACAAACTTTCACCTTCAAAGCGAAGCAGAGCTCGTTCAGTGGAAAAATACAACCTTGGCAGCCCTGGCCATGCAACTGATAAAAAAAAAATCCTGCCTGTTAATCGCAATTCAAACAGAAATCCGCTCCCTGACAGCCGCGGGAGCTTGTTTATGTGTTTCTTGGAACAATAAAACTCATTACCTGGCAGCCGATCAGCTTTTAGAGCCTAAGCAGGCACCTGACAGAGGGGTGCAGGGAGAGCTGCCTCAGCACAAAGGCTGCTGTGGGCTGGGAGCAGGGCTGCGCCCCTGCCAGCCCCCAGCCCCGACACCCCGTGCCCTGTCCCATCCTTATCGGGATCCTTCTGCTGTTCCCTGTAATCCGACTCTGACCAGAGCCCAGCCTCAGACTGCTGCGAGCTTTTTGTGGGTGGGGATGGCACCCGGATCCCAAACTGCTCCCGGGGGACAGAGATCAGAGTGCCAAGTGTCCCCTCGGGGGGACAGCTTTGGGCAGGTGGGTGGGATCAGCTGGGGGGATTGCTGGGAGGGATGGGGAAGGAGCAGGATGAGGGAGGAGGAGGAGGAGGATGCCTTGGTGGCACAGCCAGGCTGAACTTTTTGGAAGAATCCTAACTTCCCACCCCTTATTTATTCTCCCAGCTCTGCTGCTTTGATTGGAATATTAAGGCACACAGTTCACCCCGGTTTAGGGCTTTAAATTCCCGTTTCTCTGCCTCCCCCACGCCGTGCTGGCAGGAGCCAGCTGAGACCATCCCGTGCTATCCAGTCCCCAATCCTGGCTCACAGCGGGCGTGTGTGGAGCTTTCAGTTTGGATAAATCTGCAGCTCTCCAGTGGCATACATCCCCATGGAAACCACGAGGAGTTTCCCCTCGCTGAGGACGGCAGTAACATCACTTCCTGCTGCTGACAAACCAATTTGTCACGAAGTGATAAAAGGCATGTTTTGTGTTTGCAGGAACTGGCCCCGGGCTTTGTTCCTCCCAAGCCAGAGGCTGCTCACCCGCCCCGAAGGCAAACAATGGCCATTGTGTGCCCTGCAGAGCAGCCACGGGGACACATTTGGAGCCCTTCGTGTCCCCAGAATGCCACCAGAACACCCCGAGTTGAACACAGGTCACGGCAGCACTCAGCAGAGCAGGCACAGGAGTGTCCCCACAGCCCAGGGGTGTCCCCACGTGGGGACACAGCACAGGAGCCTGTGTGCTCCCCCCAGCAAGGTGCAGGGCTCAGGGGACACAGCCTACCCGGCTATCACATGACACACAGAGCCAGAGCTCCAGATTAGACGTGTCTTGGGTAATTCCCTTGTCTCAAAGCTCTGCCTGTTGTCATCAGCGCTGGAGAGGTGCAGGGTGTACTCGGGCTTGGGGACTATCCTGAATTAGTCACCCCAGGAGCAGACTCGCAGGGCCACAAGGATGTGTGATGCCATTACGTTGAAAAAAAAGAACATTACAACAGATCACACACAGGCAAATCTTCCTGGCCTGGTTATCACCTGGGTTTTTTTCCTCTGCCTGGCTCCAGGGTAGCAGAAAGGGCACTGAGAGTTGTTTGGAGGTGATGTTTAAGGGCAGCCCACTCCCCAGCTCCACAGTCACAGCGGGATGGGGAAGGAGGAAAGGTCGTGGTGTGTGACTGTCACAGTGTGGTGAGAAATCACAACACCTCAAAGCCCATCTAAACCTCTTCCTCATCCCTCTGCTGGTCCAGCAGCAGCGTCTGTGGCAGACCCAGTGCCCAGGGCTTTGGCTTCCCCAAATCTGCTCCCATCCAAGGCTGGTGGGAGCTTGGGAAAACAGTTAAAACTGTTTTAACTCAAATCCACTGGTGCTGAAAGAACAAATCAGTGAGATTTGTGCTGCGTGTGGCTCCTCATCACTCTGTTCACTCCAGGGCAGAGCCAGAGGCCACAGCTGATGGAGGCTGGCAACCCCAGAAGGGCACGGCCAGCTTGGTCCTGTTACACCCATCAGGGCTGTGAAGGGCTAAATGGGACCAAGGTGTTAAAGGACAGATTGGGGAGAAATAGAATTTTCTGGCATTGCTGTGAGGACTTTGAGCTGCCCGAGGCTGTGACCCTGAGCACAACCTCCAGGAGATGAGCCCAGTGACCTGAGGGAAAGCAGCTGAGTTGCTCTGCTGCTGGGCTGGGTAAGGAATTCCAGGTTTTGAGAGTTGTTTCCCACTTTGGAAGTGCAGTTGTACAAACCTGTGCCTGTCTGGAGAGCAGTGCCAAGGTCCTACCTGGAGCTGACACCGTCAGTCTGGCACAGAGCTAGCTGGCTGTTACTGCAAGAAAAACAGCCAAAACCAGGGCAGAAAGCAGCGTTATTTTTTGCCTTTATATGGTGTGAGCAGCCTCACTTCCAGGTGTGGGGTTGATTTTTTCCCCTTGCCGTGGGAGTTTTCACTCGCAGGTCTCTGTAGCTGCCCTGTGAGGCTGCTGTCCCCCCTGGCAGTGCCAGGCTGGCTCTGCTGGGCCACCAGAAGGGGCTCAGCGTGGCTGAGGTTGTGCTGGGGCTTTCCTGAGCGGGGTTCTCAGGCTGCAGCATTTGCATGCGTTTCCTGCTGACTCGCCCTGGGCTTCCCCTGGCAGCCCTGGCGTGCAGGGGAGGGGGTGAGATCAGAGATCAGACACCGTGGGCAGCTCCAGCCCCCTCCCGGCACGGCCGAGCTCCAGCTGGGCTGGGCTTGGGGGTCTGGGGTGCCCTGGGAGCACAGAGGGTGATTGTGGATGTGTTTGGGGTCTGGCAGGGGATGCTCGTGGATGTGTTTGGTGTGTGGGAGGGGATGCTCCTGGATGTGTTTATTGTGTGGCAGGGGATGCTCGTGGATAAATTTGGTGTATGGGAGGGGATGCTCATGGATAAATTTGTTATGTGGCAGGGGATGCTCATGGATAAATTTGTTGTGTGGCAGGAGATGCTCGTGGATAAATTTGGTGTGTGGCAGGGGATGCTCCTGGATGTGTTTGGTGTATGGCAGAGCATGTGTTGCCCTGATTTTTTAAGTTTTTCTAAGCCTTCTGGTGTTTACATTCTTGTAACGAACTTTCTCACACGCTTTCTGTAAATAACTTATTGTTTTGTGTTCTTTTGTGGAGGAGGAGAGGTTTGGTGGACTGTTGGTTTGTCCAGTGGCACTGCCACCCTCCAATCCACTGTCACTTTTGGAAATCTATAAATGTTGGAGTCAGAAAATGAACTGCCCTTTTTAACCTCGAGAGCAACAGCGTGTTCACGTCGTGGTTCTTCGTGCCTTGTAGTGACAGGGTGAAGCCCCCTGGGCACCAGGGACCCCGCTGGAGCTCAGCCAGCTCTGGCTGGGGCTCAGACTGGGTGAGTCAAGGCTGTGGGAGCAGTAATTTCACCCTCCTGCTCATTCCAGCCTCCTCACCGTGTCGGGGCCAGCACAGGGCCACAGAAAATGCTTTATTTCTCATCAAAGGGTTCTCTATGACACCAGCCCCTCTCATATCAATACATGCTCATCCCCAAGCTATAGGCCAGGTTTAAAAATAAACTCCCAGAGGACTCTGATATGACGTAGTTACCTTCTAACTCAGTAACCAGTTGGCTATAAATTAACAGGTTCTTACTACACAGTATTTTTTGAGTTACAGTCTGTCTCCGAGCCAAATCTAACTCCCACCTGTACTCAAATAATAAACTACGGTGTCATTTTTAGACTTCTAATTTCTGTGATAATTTAATTTTATTTGAAAGGAGGTTTTTTTTGTTCTCCAGCAGTTGTGGTGGAGATGGCTAATGATGGCTTTTTTCAGGTCTTTTACACACTGGGAAGAAGTGTTTCATTTTCAGCGTATTCTCAAAGTTCTTGTCAAAATATGATCCATGGTAAAATTTTCACACATCAGTATATTGTTCTTCCTTCAAGTCTTGTTAAGGTTTTGTTAATTGGCAGCTGGGTCACAGCACCATGTGGTTTTAATGGCAGGTTTCTCTAATTTAGGAAAGATATGAACTGCACATGTGCACTAACTCTGACAGTCTTTCCTGATACTCTGTAGTATTGCAGGCCAGCTGGTAACTTCTGTCCTT